ACCTAAAGATGAGGGTGGGGCGAATAAATACAGACTGTAAAATGTTTTGCTTTTTAGAATTCAAATTATCCTTCCGTTTCTTAAAATGTATCTTTCCTTCTTCATTGCAGCAAGAATTGTCATTTTCTTTCTTTCATTTTTATAGCTCTTGGATTTAAAATGTATATGTACCTAACAGTAACAGATACATACCTGTATATTGTAGGAAATGAGTTTTTTTCTCAGAGAACGCTGAAGCCTCTTTTCTCCTGGAAAACTAGTTGTGTTACGTGCTCCCACCTTTGTCACAGAACAAGCCCTTGGAAGGGTTCTCTTTTTGACGTGCGTGAGTCTGTAGAGGTACAATAGATTCATTCAAGAAAGGAGGTTACTTCTCTGACTCAATTAAAATCATTGCGTACCCCTTCTCCGTTACAATGTTCAAACTGAATTGACTTGAATTAATTGCTCTAAAAAGAGTGGAGTAGAAATCAGGAATTGAGTTTGGTTGGAAATTAGCAGCTGAGAGATGAAGGTGCCAGGATTTTTATTTAAATGTGGTACAACAAGATTCTGTCAGTAAAGCACATCATTAGAATATTGAGTTTAGAACTGCTAATTTTTCCTTTAAAATGAGCATACAGTCATGTGTTTCATGGACCATAATAAATTGCCATTGTGTTGTCATTGAGTTTGTTTTGCTTTTTTTCAGTACTGGTTTGGCAGTCATTCTGCATTTTCTCTTTCCTTTTTTCCCCCCGATCTTACTTTTTTTTTTTTTTAATAGATCCCTCACCAAAACCAGTCAAACGAATGTTATTTATTTCATGCAGTCTTAGGTTTATGCATCTTCTGCACCATTTTCTTGCTTACGGTAGCAAGACATTTGCAGATGGTTCTTGGTTACTATAAAGTACATAACAGTATTTCCTTTGTGGCAGATGGATTTAAGACTTTTAATTCTCAATAAATGTAGGTTTACAATACATAACTTTACAGGATTTGTGTTGTATATAACAGGTTTGAACATATTATCTCAGAATTCATCTGCATGGCATTTTCAGCTTATTCAGGGTTCATGCCAGTTTTTTTTAAGTAATAGGGGGAGTGCTGTGATTGATAGCAACAGCTCAAGGCGTGATTTTGAATAGAAACAAAGGGTTTAGAACAGAAGGTGTCAAATTAAACTTCGTCAGTTTGAAAAGTAGTAACATCCTGAAAGTTTTACTAATTTATTTACATGTGGCTACTGTTTATATTTTGCCCTCTTTATATGCAGTGTAATGTTGCTTGGCAAATTTACTACATTTAAAGTTTAGGTTGTTCCTTGTACCATTTTAGTTTTTGAGAATGGATTCGTCTCATTATTTTAAGGCTGTTATTCTCCTGTCTTTTCTACTGTACGGAACAGTCGTGATCTAATTTAATTTGGAAAGTAGCTCACTACTCCTGCCTATGGTCTTACAATATTTCAAGTCCCAGAGACCACTCTTAAAAATGTAATTATGTTCACATTTTGCAGCAAAGTACTGCATTTCATTTCTTGTCTCTCCTCTACCAAGTAAATCTATACATTTGTCATTTAAAAACTAATACAGTACTTAGGGGAATCATCATTATTTGTCAGATATTACAATATTCTGACATGTTCATTGTCTTACCAAGTTTATTTGCTCTAACAGTATCACTTATGGAAAAGTGACCTAGTAAAAGATATTGGGGAATTAGAAAGCTTTTGGCTTTTTTAGTCACTTTGGGCAAAACATAGATCGGATTACTGTCATCATTAATAGAGTCTCAATTGATAGGATCTGAGGCAGTCAAAATATTCCAAGGTATTTAAATAGTATTAGAATGAATTAATCTTATTTTTGCCAGCATAAATTGGGAATGAGCCAGTGTCTCTACTGACAAAGAACTAGCGTGTCAAAATGTCTGTTTTCCAATATTTTTTAAGAGATACACACATCAAGAAAAGCACTCCCTGCTTTTAGTTTAGTTTTTTTTTTTCTTTCTTTTTGGAATACCCTTGTAGAACTAACAGTTCCCAGCTGCACCGTTAAATATTTTTCTAAGAAGCATCTGATTTCAGTCTCTTAAAATCATCATGTCTCTTGAAAGGCTAGCAGAGACATGCTTCAGACTTATAATTCATCAAATTATTTTTAGATAAGGAATTAGAAGTATTATTTAAGGGCAGAGGTTAATAGCAAACTACTGGAAATGTTATGTTAGTCATGGACAATTAATAAAAATAAGGATCCATCTCATAAGTATAGATACACAGAAGTGACAATATGAGCAAAATATTTGTTGAATGAGTCAGGGCTCCTTTTCTGAAATATTTGTTAAACCAGCGTGAGTGTGATTGTTTAGGAATTAGCTATCATTATTAGCCATTTTAAAAGAACTAATGATTTTCTTTTCCAAAGAACATCTGTGATCCACATGTTTTTTCACATATATCCGAGTGCTAACTGATCTGTTACTTTAAGAAGTTCTAAAGGATTGGAAAAATTATTGGAGTTTTTCAGCTCTCTCCAAGAAGCATTTCTTATGTGAATTGTTCTTAATTTAACTTTTAGCAATTTATAGTTACAAACGTTTATTTCTTAAAAAAAAAAATCTTAGATATTCCATGTTTAGCACTTACTGCAAGAGTATACAATACCAGCTAAGTACAAAAAAGCTATCCTCCCCAGAATAACTTTTCTGTTGTTTTTTATGAACCTTCTAACATCTTGAAAGGTCAATAGAATTGTAGCAATTTGCTCTGTTCAGGCATGGGGGCCTCTCAATTTGCCGTAAGTGAAGAATGGAGACAAAGGAGAGGAGCGTCTCTTCACCATAGTTAATATTCAAGCCTGCAGGAAGGTGTGTATCTAAAACCTGCACAACATCAGAACTTAGAGGTAAAGTGTAAAGAAGTAGCTGAGATATAGGAAAATATAAAATGTTTTCATGGCTCAATCCAGATAGCAAATATTTGCCAATAAGAGCTAAATAAACATCTCCAGGGCACCATATGCAAGTGGGTCTCAAATACTTCAAATACTCAAATACAGTTTGAGAGTTAATATTATACTCATATAAATAGAGCTAAAATATGACACATCATCATATTTTTCTGGAAATAAACATAGAGTTGCTGTGGTTAGAAAAGAAGCATATTCAGTGACATTCTAATCACAATTATTATTTTTTTAACTAATATTCTCTCAGGTAAATCTTCAGTTTACTGCTTGCTCTCTTAGCCTTGAATTACACATTCAGTGGCATTGAATGGGTGCATGATTGCATGACCGACCCCTTGTACGTGTTTGTTTAATTACAAGACCTGCGGAGTAGAGAAACAAATGTCTCAGAAAAATTAGTAGATCTCATGAGGTTTAGCAACAGTCACTCACCCTTGGCTGGTTAATATGTGGGCCTTGGGAAGTTGATGTTATCAGCTTTCCAGCTTTTCTTTTAAATTCTCTCAAATCAGCCCTTTGAGGAAGAATGGGCCTATTTCTTTTCACTGCATATTGCAGTTGGAAGGGGAAGGAGAATTTTCTCCAGTGGCTTAGTTTGGGATGAAGAGAAGAAAAGTCATACCATTCTCTGGTCTCACCCCCGATAACAATCACAACACACACACACACACACACACACTCTCTCTCTCTCTCTCTCTCTCTCTCTCTCTCCTTTGCTAGTTCTAAAAATCAGATAATAAACTGTTCTCATTCCACTCTCATCCAAGTAATTTACTTGGAATTTCCAAGGAATCCCTTCATCTTAGGTCAAGTCCCTAAAGCAGAGCCTAAGACAGGGAATCAGGTGTCTATGATTTGGTGAAGGACCTGGAAGAAGTGAGGGAGGATAGGGAAGGAAGGGGTCCAGTAAGATTATGGTCTCAGGTAGTCTGTATTGATGGGGGGAGGGAGCAAGAAGAAGGGGGAGGGCCATCTCCAGAGAGTAAATTGAAGGATTGAGTTGTCCCTTTGGAGGAAGAGGGTAGGGACATTGTACCCCTGGGTAAGCCAATCACTGGCCACCCCAGCGTGTGAGGGAGTCAACGAGGATGTGGAGTAACTGTCCAGTCATCTCCAAGTGAGGTGACTCCAAACACGACTCCAGAGAAGAGTATGGCTGTGAGCTTTTAGCAGGCAGCACGCAGCTGGAGGTGGTTGCCTGAAGGGGGTCTGGGTGGAACAGTCCCTCTTACTCTCCGCCCCATTGCCTACCGTCCATCATGCAGCTGAGATGAAGAACGTTTGGGATGAGGGGAGTCATCAGAGAGGTGCAGGTTTTGGCATTCATTGGACATTTCCTTCTCTCTCAGTTCAGGAAATCTATTAAAATTCTTGTCTGGTGAATCATATGTTGCACACTGCAGTGGGCAGAAAAAACAGGCTCTGAGATGTCTTTCTGGAAAGCTGTTTCTTGGAGAAGTCTTCTAACACCCATTCTGATGATTATGCTTTACAATGGACAACATTCTTGCTCACTCTATAGCATGTATCCTTTCTCTGTCACACACACACACACACACACACACACACTTTACACATAGTTTCCTTCCGAATATAAAAATCATGAACTTTGGGAATCCTTTTAGGAAACAAATTATTTTAAAAATCTATCTTATCTCTTAAATACCTTCAGGAACTCAGATGGCTGCTCATCAGACAAGAAGGCTGGGCAAGATGAGAAGCACGTTCAACTTTGCTTTTCTCCTATTTCACATATTGCAAAGTCCGTGGTAAATGTGTCTTGCCCTTGGAATCTTAAAAAACATGACTCTTTTACAATGCAAATCTGAACATTTATTGGAAACAGCCTGCCTCCTTGATAGCCTCAGCTATTTCCTCTTAACAGGTTAAAAAACTTTTTTTTTTTTTTTTTTTTTAAAGCAGATTGCAGTGTTTTTGAGCTTAGGAAAAAAAGTTAACTTCACAGGGTCTTTTCTTTTTAGCCCTTACTGGAAAGTATCAACCCCCCACAGGCACAAACTGACCTATAATGCCCTTGTCTCTAAGGGGTGGTTGTGTGAGCTGTTGCGCTGGAAAGAAGATCCTTCTCCAGAAAACAGGACTCTGTGGGAGAACCTCTCCATGATCCGAAGGTTCCTCAGTCTTCCTCAGCCAGAACGTGATGCCATTTATGAACAGGAGAGCAATGCGGTGCATCACCATGGCGACAGGCCGCCTCACATTATCCACGTTCCAGCGGAGCAGATTCAGGTTGGTTTACCTTGGCCGATTCAATATAGCACTAAGTAAATAGAGCTTTAAACTTAGCTGGGAAATTCACGTTTCTCTTCTTCCTGCCAGTCTAAACATAGGCTTTAGCAAGAGACAACGATACACTGCCATCTTGCTCAGGGGAATAAAAGGAAAATTAGCACACTTTTTTCAGCATGTGTATTGTGTTCCTCTTCCCTCATCTCCCCACCCACTAAGTGGCAGGATCCCCCTTTTTTGCCCTACTGGTTTGGCAAGTGCGTCTTTGTTAGAATTGGGTTGTTTTTTTTGTGTGAGAGCTCAAATTTTTTTAATGACTATCAATACTGCCCTTTTGGAAGGGAATTAACTGCCGTTTCTGTAGAGAAGGTTTGTACAATCTCAACTTTCTACCTTGGATACTGTCCAAAGAGAGGAGGGGAGGGAAACCTAATTGGAATCTTGTTTCTGACTCCTCGGCCCTTCCTTCACCTTGTAGCTGTCTCCCTACAACCTCACAGAACACAGGTTAGGGGTGAGTCATGTCTGTTTGTCTTTCCTTTAGAGCCCCTCTCCCACCACCCTTGGGAAAGGAGAGTCTAGAGGCGTTTTCTTACCGGGCCTGCTGACCCCTGCACCATGGCTCAGTGCTGCTCCCCAGGTGAGCGGGCACAAGTTACCTATGCCAGCAAGAGAGGGGGTGGTATAAAGACCTGCTCCCTTGGTCAGGATTTTCAGACTTGGCAGAGGACGTACTAACCATGGTGGTGGCCAAGGACCACTGTGCCAGCAGATTCAGCCTTGTGCTTAGCTGGTCATGTCATGGGACTTACCTGCATTCATCCACTGAGGGAACCCCCCTATGAATCTAGATTGGAAAGCTCTGGGATCAGGTAGTTTGTGGTGCCCTATGGCCTTGATTTCTAAGGAAGCGTGTTGAGTGAACTGGAACTATAGAACCTTTTCCTGTTAAATCTAAAGGGATGTTTTTAGCTTTTCCCTTTAAGAGAAAATGCCACTGCCTTCCAGAGTCCTAAAATTCTACTGTCTTTTTTGAATCACCTGCATTATTTTTTTGGTATTGCTGTGGGGGTGGGTGGGGAATATATATATATATATATGTATATATATATATATATATATACATATATACTTATACAATATATACAATATATTATTGTTTTAGCTATATATATAGCTAAAAACAATAATAGGGTTATCCATCACTAGGAAAAAAAAATCCTTGAGTATGTATTAAAGATAAATTGGAAAAGAGAATTCCTTAGGATATCAAGCACTAAATAATCATGAAAACCTGAAAAACTTACTGTTTAGCAAAAACAAAAAAAAGAGAAAGGTATATGTATAGTAATAAAAATAGTACTTGTTTGAAGATGTAAATTGTTTTTAATAAAATTGTTTCTTAGGGGGATAAAAAGAAATGCTTAGGCACAGTAAAAACGTGCTAATATTTTGCCGCTTACAGGTTGATTTGCTTTGATGATAAGAATTATGGTTATAGAGTATACAGTATGTGCATGTGTCACACATTTGTTATGTATAATTGTGTATGGAAATTACAGCACATATACAGACACTAATTATGAAGAAGTGTCTGTATACACTAAATTTAAATCCTAATCACATGAGTTTACTATAGACAAAACAATTTGCTAGCCGTTGTACAGTGGATCAAACTTTTATTTTTCAGTAAGAAAAAACTTGCAGTGTCAGCCTAGTGCAATTTGGTAAGAAATTGTGTATTAAATCCGAACTGACTGGTAGGAAATTCACAAACGTGAGAATCTCAGAAATCCTTTGGAGTCTGAAGGGATAATGCGGAAGAACAGCAGGCATTTATCCATTTTATTTGGAATTTAAATAAGACTTTCTATTCTTGCTCCATGCTTTAGCCATGGATGAAATGGGGCAAAACACAGGTTTCTTCCCCCCACAGCTCTGTAGCACTCCCTTCTAAAATGCCTTTGAAATCCTTACTCCTCAATCTTCATATTAAATCTTTGTTAATTATTTACATCATAATTTGCTTTGCTGTCTTCGCCTTCTGATGCGTATCCTTCTGGTGAAGTTCACGGCTCACATTTTCAGCGTGCTGAGCTTTCACTTCCGTGAGCCAGACTGAAAATGAAGGGCAGGGAGGCTCCACTGACCCCTGATGAGGAAGCCCAGTAGCCCCCCAAAACCCTACTCAGGCCTCCCCTTCCTGGTTCTTATCATTTTGCCTTCTTTCCCTGTTGCTGTGAGCCATCTGGCTGGCCTCCCTTTTGGTCCTGAATCTTTGTCCCACTCGGAGGAGCTCCAGGTGGGAGAAACTACAGGTGGGATCCCCAGCCCCCAGTTTCCTCCTTCAAGCCGGCTTTGTCCGCCGCCGCCGGGAAGGGAAGACCGAGCTCTGACTGTCCATTTGTTTCTTTGCAGCAGCAGCCGCCCGCGCAGGCGCAGCAGCAGCCGGCGCCGCCGCCCCCCCAGGCGCAGGCGCAGCAGCCCGCCGGGCCCCGCCTCCCCCCGCGGCAGCCCACCGTGGCCTCTCCCGCAGAGGCCGAGGACGAGAACCGGCAGAAGACCCGGCCACGAACGAAAATTTCCGTGGAAGCCCTAGGCATCCTCCAGAGTTTCATCCAAGACGTAGGCCTGTACCCGGACGAAGAGGCCATCCAGACTCTGTCCGCGCAGCTTGACCTGCCCAAGTACACCATCATCAAGTTCTTTCAGAACCAGCGGTATTATCTGAAGCACCACGGCAAACTGAAGGACAACTCCGGCTTGGAGGTGGATGTGGCCGAATACAAGGAAGAGGAGTTGCTTAAGGATCTGGAAGAGAGTGTCCAAGACAAAAATGCTAACACCCTTTTCTCGGTGAAGCTAGAAGAAGAGCTGTCAGTGGAAGGAAACACGGACATTAACACTGACTTGAAAGACTGAGATCAAAGTATTATTTTCATTCATCAGTGCCACTGGTATTTACTAACGAAATGAGAAGTCCACCGTGTATTCTCTCAGAAAACCTTTGTTGTTCATTGTTTGGCCAATGAATCTTCAGAAACTTGCACAAACAGGAAAGTGGAGAAAGGATAATGCAGACTGCACTAAATGTTTTACTCTGTTTTACAAACTGCTTGGCAGCCCCAGGTGAAGCATCAAGGATTGTTTGGTATTAAAAATTAAAATTTGTGTTCACGGGACACATCAAGGTGTGTACCCCGTAAGCATGATACCGGTGATTTTTTTTTTTTTTTTTTTTTTGAAAAATTATTCTGGAGCCTCAAACAAGCATTATAACTTCTGTGATTATTATTTCCTTCCTTTAATTATTTCTGTAACACTCCACACTGATCTTTGGAAACTCGCCCCTTATTTTAAAAAAAGAAAAAAAAAAGAGTTTGTTACTCTATTGTATGTTACAAAAGAACTATAGACTGTGGAATGCAGTTTAAAGATGACATATGCCAACAAATGCCTTGTATTATATGGCACTGCCGTAATTCAAATTTGTTTTTATTTTCGAAATAAAAGTTCACTGTAATTTTTTTCATTCTCATTGTTACATGATTTTTTAAAAAATGAAAAGAAAATGTGAAACACAATTTAGTCCTCATTATTTATTTGTAGATCCTGCAGCATCATGTTGTAATTAATTTTTTGGAAGTTTCCGTTAAATGTAATATTGCTTCTCTTGTTACCATACTGATTCTTTTCTATTTATAAATGTATTTTGATGGGCAGTAAAACAAAGTGTCTTAAAAGTTTTAAATAGAGAAAATGTGCTTTACACAGTTGCCTATAAAAAGTGCTCTATGTTATCCAAGCAATTCATACTATAAGCTTCACTCTTATTGTTGTATGCAATTTTTACTATCATGCAAATAAGCTTAGGTAAATAAAACTAATAGATCACCTTAGAAAATTATGCAATTAATGTGAAAATAATTGATGTTTGCAATGTGTCTTCCTTTGGTTTACAATCAATTTTAAAGCTACATCTGTATAAAATTTCTGTATAAAGGTGTATTTCTTTTTTATGAGTTTATGGCTATGAAAACACCAGCTATTTTGTTACAGCTGGCTGTTTTTATAAGTGTATCACAATTTTCTTTATGCAGAAATGTTCTGATTAGGAGTGGTTATTGACTGTAACTACACAATTAAAATTGTTTGTATGGTATGACATGGTAGGGTTGTCTGCTTATGTGAAGTAACTTTCAAGAGTCAAAGATGGCCCTCTCAGTTAGGTGCATGTTAATATTTTCTTGATGATATTTTACTGATTTTAAAAAGAACGATTGAAAAGTCACTCAAAACACTGTAAATTTAAATCACAAACACATGCTCATTTTTTAAGTTTAACAACGAAGACCATAACCTGTTTGGGGTTAACATTTTGCCTAATAAACAGAGATAGAAGGATGGTCGGAAGACCCGCCAAGAAAAACGTAAATACACTCTCTAGGAGTTATGTGCTTAGAATGAATCCATCTGCATTTATTTCACAATACTTAATTATGGTAACACTTTTTTTTAAGCTAATGTATAAATATTTTAAAGGCCTTTATCAAGTAACATAAGTAGGTAAAAAATGGACCTTCTGTATAAAAACCTCTTAGTAAGCAATGTATTTTTTTAAGTTATAAACGGAATATAAGTTAAGAACTCTGAGCTCATTTGGTTGTGTATGTCATAACTATAAGAACTGAATGAAGAAAATAAGAATAACACACGTGGACTTTAAACACCATCTTCAAAATTCTTGCAACATCAAACTCCATACACTCCGCGATATAAAATGAGGTATACTGGTGGTCATGGAAAAGATTGAGGCCAGGGTTTCGATTTTTGATTATCATTTTGTATTCATTTTATCTTTTGATGCATCTTTTTAAGACTTCCTAGATGTTAAAAGGGGTGTGTGGGTTCCTTGATAGTTGGTTCTGAAATTGTCCAATCTCTTCATGCCTAACATTTTTCCAGGCACTGATGAGCTCATTGGTAGGCAACTGGGCTGCTTTAATGTTGAACTTAAGAAACTAAAATGGCATCATTGAAGACTCCCAATTCAGCTGTAAAAGTACTATTTACTTTTGAAGCACAGCTGAACTGCTTTGAAGGCAGCTGGTTTGCTGTAACTTAAAATTGTATTGAAAAAGTTTTCAATTCTTTTTATTAAATGAGAGGACAACTTTTAAACATTCTTGCTCACTTAGAGTTCAGAAAACCATTTGAGGAAAAGAAATTTGAACTAATAAAATAGAAATTAGATTTCATGTAGTTAAAAAAAAAAGAAGAAAGTAATATGCCGTGAAGTTTTTTAAGAAATCCTTTCTTCCTCTTTTTTTTCCTCTGGGTTTAGAGGGAAAAGCTAGAGCAAGGAGTAGTTTTTGATTTTATTTCATTTTTTTTTTAATCCAGCCCAGCAGAATATAAGGTGCCAGAAATTTTAATTTTTTTAGAAGGAAAAATTGGGTTGCAAATACGATTTTGCCATTCCCAATAAGCTAATTTCTTTCGAAATAACATTTTGGATGAATTTGATGACTGTGTGTAAGAAATCAATACAATACTAATAATACTCTTCCTTAGACCTTTTAAGCAGCATAATCTTTCTAATACAATATTTTAAGCCAAAAATAAATAAATAAAAGCACATATCAAAAAACAGTGATGGTCATGATGGAGTGAGCAAAATCGTTTTCAGGGAAGATGGCACAATTTGGAAATGATTTCTTTGGGTGATCTTCCACATTGCTCCCCCAATGTCATGTATCGTCCATACCAGTCCTCTTACTGCCAGTGGCTACAGTAAAACTCCTTGAACGAGCTTCATGGTGTCCAAGTATTTCAGAAACTTTTCAAAGCTGGGCATGATATAGCGCTTTGTGCTGTTAAGACCTTAGCAGAGTCAGGTAGTTTACGGGTAATATTCAACCTTGTGCATCTGAATCTGTCATGGATTCCTTCCCTCAGCATTTTGCCACTAATTTGTACTACACTCTGTGGCCATATAATACTTGCACGTTATGCAAAAAATAATGTTGACAGTATCTCCTTGGCACGTAATATGCAGAGCTGACACCTAACCTTTGAAAACCAAGGTAACTAATATGTGTGCCCTAGTTGTGTGGCACTTGGTTAAAAAGTCTGTACATATTATGTATAAACTGTGTATTGATTAACATTTAGTCCTAAGGAATTCTGAGCTTAAAAGAAGTGTCTTTTTTTTTCCAAGTAGTGATATCTATATCTAACTGTGCTTATCTAAAATATATAGCTTGAGTAGAAAACATTTTCAGATGGTTCAGCATTGAGTAAAAATGACAATCCCATACATTCCATTATTAAATTCTGCCCTATTCCCTATTGTTATCATCAGTTGATATTAAGGTCCTTGATTGTCACGATATTATCAATAAATGAGGTATTCTGAACTGCCTGGTGATATTTTCAAAAGAGCAATTAAAATGTGTATACCCTATTATATAGCCAATAAAAATAGGACTACCTGGCTGAAGGAAGCCAAAAATCTGCATGATAGTGTAGAAACCAAGGAAGGTCCCAAAATATGAATCACATTTAAAATATCAGAAGATACTGATGCTATAGTTTATCTTACAAATAAATATTTTTTACTTTTAAAAGGGTCATATTATGGATTCAGTGTTTCTTAGGAGGTAATCTTTTTAATGTAAATACTAAATACTTGCATGTCTTTTGACAAAGGTTAAATTACAATCTATTAACATGCACATTTTTTATAAAATATAAAGTACCCTTATTAAAGAAATGTGGTGGAAGGTATATGTCCAGAATACTATTACCTGTTTAACAATACCAAATGTTAATTAAAATAGTTTGGAATTAATGTTTAAAAAACGAGCAACATTTTTAAGCCTTTCTTATATTACCCTACTTATCTGAATCATGCATTTCCAAACTTATCAAAATAATTCCAAAAAGTTCCATTATGGCTTCTTGCCTTATACCAGGGTTGTGTACGAAGTCCCCTTCTGTCAACTATTTTCAGCTGTTAATATTCCTATTGTGGTCAAAAGCATGAGACTTGGGCCCCGTTCTCTATGATAATGTTTGATGAGGAGATGCAGTAAAACAGTACCTTGTACTTGTTGCCTCGCCAAGGAAACAGAAAAACTCTAAGGTGACCTATTTTGCTCTAAATTAAATATTGAACGTTATTTCTGTACTATTAGTTGAATTTTTTTGTTATTATTTGCTTTTTGTGGTATTTAAATACTTTTCATTACAGTGACAATCTAATCACGTCTTTACACCCTCCCCCCCAAAAGATATGATGCCCCATGTGCTGCTCTGATATTCCACTCACAAAAAAACCAAACAGTACATGTTAAAGGAGGATGTTGGGAACTTTCCAATGTTTAATGTCTGTTAATTCATCGAGTGTGCGGCAGAGTGATGCAAAGTGAGCATTTGTTCAGAGCACGAACCTGTCCCAACAGCATCTTAATGTGGGGACAGGTTTCACCTACTCCACTTTTGTTTCCCATTTTAACTTCCAAATTTTACCAAATCTCTCTCAATGGCTTCTTAACCTTCTGAGAGCCCCTGAATCGCAGCACACTCAGACATGCTTTAAAGGAAAATAGCAACATCATTCGTAGAATGTTTCGTTATAGAAGGTACTGCCCCCAACCTATCTCTGTTCCGCTCTGAGGCACTGAAGGCAGGCTCTGAAATTCACCCTTCAAACACCAGGGAGGGGCAACTCAAACAGGCTAACTGATTTGTTCAGCTGTTCAGCGGTCTCATCGATTTCAAACCCAAGCCCTCTACCCTCGCATTCCTATGGCTACTTCTTAATAAAACCTTTTTCAACTGCAGAAGATGTGAAAACATTCATTACCATTCAAAATTTTCAAAAATCTAATGTAGTGTGTATTCTGCTAACATGAAAAAGTCTGTCACAGAGTAATTGAAATCAAGTGTATGAAATGTTAACCCCCAGATTCTGCTGTCCTGGTGTAAGAGCCATATACACAAAACCTTTTTTTCTAAAAAACAAAATACACTTTGTTATAGGAATGTTCAGATATACCAAAAAAAAAAAGGTAGAATAATGTAATGAACCGCTGATGATTCATCCCCAGTTCAACAATTGTAACATTTTCCCATTAATAAGTACTTTGTGAAACTCATTAAAATTAAGATGAAACTTTTATGAAAATATTCAAACTGTTCAGTGGTTTTTGCCTATAATGATATTCTGACATTATCTTACTTTTTGCAAAGTAATGAATTTTCTGATTTCTCGAGAAAATACTGAAACGAAGTTTCTCTCTGAACTCTCTGAGAATTTTCAAAAAGCCAATTTTAGAAGGAGAACCTGTGAGAATTCCACAAATATTTGTAATATAAAAAAAGAGACAACCCAGCCTCTCTTTATTTATAAACAATACGTGCTTTCATATCATTGTTGAAACTAAAATACATAATTTTCAGTTATGCATAATAAAGTATGTAATTAAGCAACATTCCATAGTGGATTAAAGAATTAAAAGCTTCAGGTGCAGAAAAGAATTTGTTGGCATTTTCTTTTTCAGGGTGGTATTTCAAGGTGTTACTTTTCATTTTCCTTTGACATCTTATACACAAATAAATAGAAACAGGTGAGAAGCAGAGAAATGAAGTATTGTCTCTACTACAGTAAACCTGAAAAATAGTGAGGTAGCATATTTGCAATGTGCCCACAAAAGCTAAACTAAAAAGGACAGAAATCTTCTTAGCCTGGGGAGGAAAAAAAAAAAAATCTCTAAATGGAGGTGTGTGTTTCAAGAAATAGAAATAACATACGAAAATTAACTGCACTTGATCATTCCTGCATTTCAAACTACATTAAATTAATCACACTCCAATTGGTCAAGTCCAGTAGACTTATTTTTCAAGTGAAGAACTACATTTAATTAATAATCCTGTGCTATAAACACTGAAGTTCATAGAGGCATTTGGCATTTATCCTATTTTTGAAAAAGAGTAATGCATCAAATAAAAAGCAAACCACTTCGATGTCAGAATGTCACAATGATTCTGAAAATAAATTATTCTACTGAACATTTAAGAAAAAATAATAATACAGAAAAAAATATAATAATAACACAGAGATGAGATGACCCATCTAGCATCAGGAGAATTTCTAGTATCTATAGTTTTCATATAGTGCTTAAACTACAGTAATAATCAACCGTATGAGAGCAAGCAAATTCAATATCATGTA